CATGGATATGCATGCATGGCTTCGATGAATCCACAGTACCATCTTTGCTGTACCACAGCATCGCCATCGTTCCAGTCCTATCCTCAGTGTCTGCGCGGAAATGCTTACGTTGATCCAGGTACCTTAAAAGTACTCCACACATCTGAGATCGAATTGCTGTATATCTTCTGTTCTTAGCATCAAGTCAAAGGCAGTACTGTTCCCCACTGAGAGAGACTTGTCCGTTTGGTTATCAGTGCATGGAATCCGACTATCCTGGCCAATATATCTGTTGCTCGCAAGGAAATAATCTTGGCGACCAGTTCAAAGGCAAGCAACCATCACATTACTTGTCCTAGTCTAATATATTATCTTCAAGGATACTGTCCACCTAATCAAATACCGTACGTTGCTAGGGAAGGATACCCACCGACATGTCACATGCAATTGAATCCCTGCCCTACTACTGCACCGTTTGTGTGCATTTACTCAGCTATGAAACAGGTTTGAGTGGTGCTAAAAGAGGGCATATACAACGCAAATATACCTATTTAAGGACTCTTACTGCTGTGCACCTATGGATGCGCCTGGGGTCAGCCAAGGCTTCGCGGATATGTCTGTAGCTGCTTCGCCAATGAAACGTATGGGTAAGTTTTCAGGCTATCTGAACTTAGAATCTCTATTCCTACTCAGATCAAGCTCTTTGTATTTTGGTTGTTTGTTTTTTTAGTAAGATTCGGGTGTGATAGCTTTTATTTTCAGGAAACCAGATGCCAGGTGTTGTAGCCGGAAATCCCTTCGCTGCTGGTTACTCTCAAACGTTCCCAGGTGGCAATCCTGTGCCGCCAACTCTACCTCCATCTCCAATAGGTATTGCTGATCCAATCCCGGGAGTGAATCCAGAACAGGTTGACTAAATTATTTCCTAAATGTAGGCCATATTAGAAAACCAATACAATTCAGCTTCTCCCACCTGCGCTTTCTGCCAAGCTCCAAATCAGTCGTAACAATAACAATCTTAACTTCAACAGCAACAGTGGCTTCCCAGCACAAAATATGAACACTTACTCTGTAAATCAACCCATCACTGGAGTACAGGGATATTCCATCAATCAGCCAACCGCGGTACTGCCCGGAATTCCCCCTAATGCACAGCCACCAACCGCGGTACTGCCAGGCATTCCTCCTAATGTTCAGCCACCAATCGCGGTACCTGGATATCCAAGCAACAATCAGCAAGTCGGAATGCCGACATATGCAGTCAGAAAGCCTTCGGGTCCCATTGGTGGAAAGACAGACATGGCCTCTCAGATTATTCAACAAGTCATAGACCAGGCCCTCAAAAACGGGCCCCATCAGAACGGAGGAAATCCTTACTTTGCTGGACCAAGTGGCACAGGACACTGGTCCATGCCGGTGCACCCGGTCACTGGATGTCCCTTCGGATCCAGAGCTTTGGTACGAGCTGATCGTAGCGTTGTGATGTGTGCCGAGCAGCCATGCCCCAACGGATTTGTATGTGTGTTTGCTGAGCGGGTAAGAAGTAACGAGCATTTGTACAAAGCAGAGTTTTTTGACAAGCATCATAATTGCAGGAAAACCGCTTCCAGTGCTGTTCATCCTCACAGATACTGTCCGCTACCAGTCCCGTCGATTCCTCGTCTACAGCAGCGTCGGTTGTGCAAGTTACAACTGGTGATCCAATTGTTGAGTGTCCGCCGGGATTCTTCCTCATCGAGGGCAAGTGTTTGAAGGGTCAGTGATCTCTTTCGCTATACTGTGAGTTAATTAGCACTTGCTGCGCTCAACTAAGGGCTGCTTATTTCTTTAAACATAGAAGTGATTCTTGAACAATGCTAAATGCATCCAAACCCAAATCGAATAAGTTCATCACTTACCAGCAGGCAGCAAAAGGCTAAGCAATTAATAGGCGGGAAGGATGACAACCATTTCTTTCGCTGATAGCTTAGCTAAACAACATAAGATTAGGGTAGTAGCTAGCGGCAAGTACAGTACTTTCAATATCTAAATATGTAGGAAGTTGATGGTTTGCTATCGATTTTTCTTCTTCATGACTGCAAAATTGATCCGCAAATTTGGGGAAATGTATGGATTGAACTTTTGATCATTGTTTCTAGGCGGCCCCTGCGCGTATAAAAGAGGTAATCCGCAACCTAAACAAGTCTTCGCTTGTCACTTGTCACTTATTTGAAACCTTTTAGACATACCTGCTATTTTCCACCAAAATTCTTATTCAACAGTCATTTTCAGTTCTGTTTGCTGGACAGAAAGGGTGTTTATCTGACGAGCAGTGTTCGACAAGGGAACCAAACGCCACCTGTGACAGCGGTTACTGCGTTTGTCCAGCAACGAAGCCTTTGGTTCACGGCGGAAAATGTGTTGAGTCATGTCCGGAAGGATTTGCTAACATTGCTGGAAGGTTAGTCCGTTAAAGAGAGCATCTATGGAGGTTAAGCCCGCTTTACAGATGCTACGATCCGACAACCGTGATTTTCATGGACTCAGTGGATGAGAGGAAGAATGGAACTATTGGAGGTTATTGCTTGGATACCGTGGTGGAAGAAAAAAGGCAAGGTCCAAGTGTTCCTTATATAAGTGTTTTAAAGTAAAATATTCAGATGTGAGGTAGAGAACAGCTACTGCAGCGAAAAGACGGTTACTTGTCAGTGCAAAGTCGGTTATACACTAAGCATGGATTTCAAAAACAGAGCCGATAAAGTACGCGATTAATTTTGGTCGTGGGAACAAGAAAGGAAAATGATAACTTTAGGGGTCTTGCAAACAAGATGAGTCTTCCAAGTTCCATACTGAGCCTGAGCCTCAATCGGAACCAGCAATCGATGACGAGCTATTCTTTGTCGACATAGGTGAAATTAATTGATATATTGCTTTAAATGAATTTCAGAATTCTGTGGTCATTCTGCCATACCAATTACTGCTTTCAGGTTCGAATGCTTCGGACGCAGACTCATCAAACATGACGAATCCGACGAACTCAACATCAGATGATGATGCCGATGATCTAGCCAAATACCTCTTCCAAACAGACGAGCTAACTTCGTCACTCGCATAATTGTTGACTCTTAAGCTATTATGTGACTGTATATCGTTAAACTCAGCATGTCAGTGCTTGAAAGCTCTGAAGTGTGGTTTCTCTGTTCAAAAGAGAGCGACGTGTTTGTACATATATATGTCGTTTAATTTATTTCATAAACATTTAGACTGATTCGTAGACCGTGTTCGTGTGCAGGA